TCTTTCCAAGGTGTACCGCTACTTTTAATAGACATCTCTGTTATTCGCTTCTGTTGCGTGTTATCAGAGATCGATTTAAACTCCCTTGTGAGGTTAGACGTAGAGTTTTTGGTCAACCTAAATAGACTACACGCTGATTGGGACATATGTTGCACATGTCACCAAATAGGTTGCCACGGTGCACGATGTTTTCTGAGACAGACTTTGGATGGGAATAGGTCAAGACCTGGCCCGGATCGTGTGAAAACCCTAACCTAGGTTTCCTGGATGGGGACCCAGAGATTATGGTAACCGGTCGTTAGAGACACTGTGTGTCGCAAATAGTGGCGTTTCTATCTTCGCGTTGACCCTGCTCTTAACATTCCAATCTTCATTGTTCTCTTTTATCCAAATGGGCGGCCGAAAGACGGCACCCAAAACCGGTGCACAAAAGTGCATGGTTGTAAACGTGAACCTGAAACCGGACGATCACCGCCATGGGAAAAATGGTGTAGTGGTGGTCATTTGGCACCATGTGTCTTTTATGTTGTCCGATCATCGATCACCGAAGGCAAATTTACAGAAATAATTCGAAATAACTCTATATATAATGCAGTTCTTTTTCGAAGCAAAGATAGACAACGCGGGAATCAATTCGTTCCGGCGAGGGACAAGAAACTGGTGATGTGCTTTAGGGAACAAACGGCTACCAATACACTTTCTGTCACAAGTAAAATATTAACTGTCCCCTTCTCACAAATGAAGTCCTCGTTCTTCTTGCGCATAACACCAAGTAGAATTCCCATTCTGAATAATCTCTATGGAATTTATCCAGCTTCAATTGCTTAACATCTGGAGTGACAGTTCCGTTTCTGTTGGGATTACGAATGCTCCCCGTTGAATGCCCGTTGAATGAACATGTGGGCCGATGGACCGGTAAAGTTACCCTCCACACAGTTTGCTTTTAGAATTCGCATATGCACCTCGGTTTCCGGTAACGATCCAAGCAATATCTTGTACCCTGTCATCGAGATTGTAATTTCTATCACTTTGGTCACAACCCATGCGGGGTGAATAGGAGTGGATTCACAAGCTGTTCGGTCCATTAATCCCCTAAATGCGTGCATATCCAATTCACCTGAGTGAAGTCTTGAAATAGTTTTTTCCCACAAAATACATTTACATACATTATTCCTAAAAGTCGCCCAATCTGGAAAATCGATATGCTACCAGGCTGTAAGTCTGATAGTAGTCGGGGGGAAATCGGAGATCCGTCGTAAGGAACTGTGAAGCATACAATTTTGTTTGAATAGTGAATAAATAGAACATCATTTTTTGAACTTGTGATCCCTATATTGATTATTTCAATCATCTCCGGATACATGTTCATCCCTCCATTGGAATCTAATCAGGCGTTACCTATCCATTTCCAAATTGATATGAGTAAAGCAGTGATTCGCTTCTTGATCAAAGTTTCCGCATTCGTACATATGATGCGAGTAAAATTATCCTCTAGTCCACGGTTTCATCCAATGTTGTGTGAATGCCCAGAACGCGCACTGGACAGTCATTTCGTTCTCATCTGTATTTCACACACGTCGTAATCTAGACCGTGTGCCAGGTAAATCATGATACAATAATCTTTACAAAAAAAGAAAAACGTTCCACGATATGCACGTGGGCTGAATTCTGCCAGGTTGCCCGGGCCAAGACAGGTGAAAATTCTTTAACAATTCACAACCGGAGCCTTCGGTTAGACAAAGCCTGACCCGCAAGGAAGCGGGGCGGTGTGTGAAAACCGCAATCCGTTGGGAGCCGGTGTCCAGTTCATCGGATCATACACCCTACGGACGGGGTCAAACGTCCAAGGTGCCCAATACATTTCGATGCCCAATCGAG